CATGTCTTACCATAAATGACACAGTATTATAAATAATAACCCCCCCCCCAAATTAGTAAAAATAAAAACTAATGAATTATTCAGAGATTTTTATTGGTTGAAATAAGCTTTGTGACGTTGAATATCACCATAGGCTATAGTCAATAATATCACAGTTTTCTGTTGAAGCTTCCACCGGGTTACGTTAAAAAGTCAGAGCAAAATTTAAGCACATTGTCTTTTATTGTTTTCATTATTACATTAAAATAATTATATTCAATAGCCAACATTCGGTTCAATCAGTTTATTGGTTTACACGTGGTATTCATACTTACTCACAAATGTAAACACTTTCCCAATAATGTCTAAATTGGCTTAAAACTATGTTCAAATCTGATTAGAAAATGTATTGCTAATTTAGTGGGAATGACCAATATAAAAAACGCAGGAGACAAGGCTAATAATTTTAACAATTTTATTTTAATCTTCAGAGGAAAAAATATAGGTCCATGGCATGCTTAACAAATCTGATTTAAAACAATTATATCGTTAATGAAGTGGGAATCAACAACATCAAAATCACGGACGAAAACTCACATTTCCCCACTTTACCCGGAGAGAGGGATAGACGGCCGTGACGTCATAGTTCTGTAGGGGTTTTCGTGTGGAGGACAAGCCAGCGGCTGGACTGGGGGGGTGTTGCCGCAACGACTCTCTCCCACTCCACTCAGATAGAGAGAGGGATAGTCGGCCGTGACGTCACCGTTCGGTAGGGTTTGCAGTCGGGAGTCTTTGCAGTCGGGAGCCCTTGCTATCGCACCATCCCAATGTCGGTATATGTTCTGTTTTACATTATGCCTCCAAAATAATATTGTATATCAATATAGTAGTGAAGTCATACATTTTGTCTTGTTGTGTTTATACAACTATTTATTGATATATAAACTGTATGTATATGTTTCTTGTTGTAAATGGTATTGCCGTGGATCAAATAAAATAAACAGAGAATCGCTGTGAGATGTTTCATAACAAAATATGTTAGCAACAAAATTCATTTCAGAATTCTTTGTTCTGTTACTGGATATTGATTTATATTAATAAAGTATTTTATTTATTTATTTATTTCAGATTACACCATTTTACAATATTTATGTATGCAATATTTAACAGCAATAATTGAGGATTTAACATGCAGGGTAGTTAAATCCTCCTATTTTGTTCTCTTGCAATATTTACTGTAGATTTACGACTCATTTAGTCGCCGGTGCCTGACCATATGAGAGCACACACTGTGACTCTGATCCAACAAATGTAGGCTACAGTTTTTTGGGGGGTTCATAATGTCTATGTCAATAAGTGTCTTGATTTTTAAATATAAGAAATCGTAGAAGAGGATAAATCTGAGGATATGGCAGTCGCTACGAAATCTTTTAATTTAGCCAATCATCCAAGGCTTGTTAACACAATACTTTATATTAATAAAAATTGAATTTCAAGTTGACCCTCTCATGAGATAAGAATATAAGTTTTTTGTGGAATGAAAATTCTAATACATAAACATCTCTTCTAACAGACCAACTTCTCCTTTCTTTATTGTAGGTGGGTGGACTTACATTAGAGTGAGCTCCAAAAGTTTGGTTCGCATCATTCTCACATAACTAGAGCCATTGGTCCACTTTATTTGGACCGAGCTTTCCAAAACAACTCCCCTGCTTTACCCACTAGACCAGTCACAACAGTAAATTGAATAAAAATCCTCACCTGTTCAGTATTTTTCATTTGACAATCATTGTTCTCCTCAGTCAGAGTTTCCATCGACATCTTCATTTGCTCAATCTTTTCATCTTTGTCGGCAATTTCACAATTTTGTTGGGTAGCTATTTTCAAAGAGTCGGCCTGCTGTACTTCCTGCTTGTTATATTTAGCTTGGATTGCTAATAGATCTTCCGCAGTCCCACTCTTGGTTCTCAGATCTTTAGCAATATTTGTTTGGTCTTTTAGTCCTTTTTCACAAACTTTCAGTTGGTCCCTCAATTCATTTAGAGTTCTAGTTAGAATAACGATTGTTTCACACAGCGCTTTCCAGTTTTCCAGTTTCCGAAATCGCCACCGCAGCGCTTGAGCCGCGGCCGAGGAAATCGGGATTTGAGCCGGACAAGGATTATTCGCTGTTCGACCGTCGACTCGTTAACGAGAAGCCTCTCCGCACAACGAAATTAACTTCGCCAAACGATATCGATTCAGGTTAGCTACGTTTTCAGACTTTCCTACTTTCTTTTAAATATTCTTTTTCCAACATACGCATACTCGTCTGCCATTTATTTTATCCGTTTACGTTCGATTATAATTTTCTAAATTTTATTAACTTAGTTCTTGCCGACTCGTACAAAACCCGCCAGTTCCTGCCTGCCAGTGACTAGCGGTGGATATTTTTCGGCTCTTTTAAACCAATTGGCTATTAAATTACGTTAATTCGGTTCGTTTCACGATTAAATTATTACTTAAGTTACTCCAGTTAATTCGACGTTTTAATACCCCGAGACTCGTCGTCTGAGTTCTTAACCCCGTCTTTGGCGGGTGAAAGAATCGAGTCTTGGGAGCAGGCTGAGTTGAATAATCAGCTACAAAAATTAGTATTAAATTTATTTTAATAACCACTCACGTTAAATTATCCGTCCAATTATATTAATTAGGCCCCGACGACTCTGTAGGAATTGCTTTTTACATTAGATTCGATTTTATTATCCACCACCGTCTTTAGCCAGATAGTTTACAGTTTAATACGAGTATTTATATCACATTGGCTTAAGATTGAATACTCGTCGGCCCTACAGAGTCATTCTAAAAGTTAGGCAAAATTCTCCAAAACACGTTAGCGAAGGTGAGGATGAAATAGCTCCTACTGAGCGTCTGCAGGATTTCCTGAGCGCTTCTAGAGCTCTGAGCCTTCGATTAAATTTCAATAAATTGATCAGTCAAAGCCGTGACAACTTCGTATCGACCCCTGGATTTTTCTCGGCTCCTTCTGAGCACTCCGGGGAAGAAATTTGAGTGTGGCTGGTTCTAGGGGTAGTCCTAGCCTGACTTAGGTGAATACTAGTTTATTCCCCCCCTAGGATTTTGCGTCACATCTCTGGCACATCTCTGGTCGGGTTCATCGGCTGACCGATGCTTCCCAACGGGTTTCTCAAAGACTCGCAAAAGCGTTTGCGAAGCTCGGCGACGATACTCCCAATTCCCAGCTGATACTTCGTCATCTCAGCTATCACCGTCCGCTCAAAGTGTGGATCCAACCGACGCGCGGGTTGTCTACTGGCGATCTCGGTAAGCTCTCCATCGTCGAAGGCATTATTTCGGGAATTTCGTCGTAGTTGTAGTCGTCAACGTTTGAATTTCCACCGTGTATATCATTACGTGGCTAATCGATAACGTTCTGGTCGAGTAATGGTCGTCGTAGTAGTCGAAGTCGTCGTAGTAGTCGAAGTTGTCGTAAATTTCGTTTAAATATCAAAGTCAAAACCGTGTTATCGAGTCCAAATGTTCGGGCGCCAGAGATGTGACGCAAAATTCTACAAAACGACAGTACAAGGACGTGAGACCGAGGAAGCTCAGTCCCTGTTCGGGCGCCAGAGATGTGACGCAAAATTCTAGGGGGGGAATAAACTAGTATTCACCAAGTCAGGCTAGGCCTACCCCTGGAACCGGCCACACTCGAATTTCTTCCCCGGAGTGCTCAGAAGGAGCTGAGAAAAATCCAGGGGTCGATACGAAGTTGTCACGGCTTTGACTGATCAATTTATTTAAAATTTAATCGAAGGCTCAGAGCTCTAGAAGCGCTCAGGAAATCCTGCAGACGCCCAGTTGGAGCTATATCATCCCAGCCTTCGTAAAAGTGTTTTGGAGAATTTTGCCTAACTTTTAGAATGACTCTGTAGGGCCGACGAGTATTCAATCTGAAGCCAATGTGATTCAATTACTCGTAATGAACTTTAAAATAATTAGCTAAAGGCCTAGGTAAATAATATAAAATCGAATATAATGTAAGACCCAATCCCTACAGAGTCGTCGGGGCCTAATTAATATAATTGGACGGATAATTTAACGTGAGTGGTTTAAAATAAATTTAATACTGATTTTCGTAGGCTGATTATTCAACTCAGCCTGCTCCCAAGACTCGATTCTTTCACCCGCCAAAGACGGGGTTTAGAACTCAGACGACGAGTCTCGGGGTATTAAAACGTCGAATTAACTGGAATAACTTAAGTAATAATTTAATCGTGAAACGAACTGAATTAACGTAATTTAATAGCCAATTGGTTTAAAAGAGCCGAAAAATATCCACCGCTAGTCACTGGCAGGCAGGGACTGGCGGGTTTTGTACGAGTCGGCAAGAACTAAGTTAATAAAATTTAGAAAATTATAATCGAACGTAAACGGATAAAATAAATGGCAGACGAGTATGCGTATGTTAGAAAAAGAATATTTAAAAGAAAGTAGGAAAGTCTGAAAACGTAGCTAACCTGAATCGATATCGTATGGCGAAGTTAGTTTCGTTGTGCGAAGAGGCTTCTCGTTAACGAGTCGACGGTCGAACAGCGAATAATCCTTGTCCGGCTCAAATCATGATTTCCTCGGTCGAGGCTTACGCGCTCAAGCGGCCAACTCAAGTACTACTAGACAACAGCTGATCGCAAATTCACTTGTTGAGCTGGTCTAGTTTCGTCTGTCGACAAATAAACATCAGTTTGGGGTTATGTCGTCGGCGGCGTTGAATATCTGTAAAATCGGTCGGTTTAACTTTATTATGTGAAACGAAGTGCTATTACGAATAAATATGTAGTTGTGGGTGTGTTCGTGTACTTCACTGTTATCAAAAGTAGGCCTACGTTCTTTGGCCCATAGCCCAAGCTAGGGCCAACACATAGGCCTAGGATTAGGCTGTTGTGGATAAAAATCGGGTAAGTTATGGTGTTTGTTGACTAGCAATACGTTTTTACCCCCCTAAAAATTTGGTACCTTACATTGGATTGGAGTTCATCTTGGAGTTTTTTCTTAGTTTCTTCAAAATGGGAAACCTCTTCTTCCTAAAATCAGGAAAGGTATAAATAAAAATAGAGGACTTTTAAATACAATTTTATAATTTTCATTTTATACCCTAATATTATCACTTATTGAATTGATGAAGCAGGAAAGTTTGTTTCAAACGAAGTATGCATGCAGTATGAGAATGATGGTGGGTATGGGTAGAATGCTACTTAGTTTACCCTAAAGTACAAAAAACATGTCAAAAAACACTTAATAAGTGTTATTATTTCATGTGTTTTTTTGTACTTTCAGGTACCGTAGTTTAATAACTTGTACAATGCTGATTAAGAAGTTATTTACTTAAGTTTACACAACCACAAGAGATATTAAGGATTTTCCGCAATCATGGAAGACAATGATTATGTTTCTGTGTCAGTGGGACATGATGATGATGTCAACAAGACCGGGGGAGAAGTTCAGGATCTTGCCGCAATCACGGTAGACAATACGTGACGGCAGGAGATGATAATGATGTCCACTTAACCACAAGAAACATACAGTAGTTTCTGCAATCACAGAAGACGAGAGTTATGTTTTCATTACTGCGGGAGACAATGATATTCACACGATTGTTGGAAATGTTCAGAATTTTTATGCAAACACAGAAGACGATGATGATGTTTTCATGACTATGGAAATGATGCTGATGCCTACATGACTGTGCGAGGTGTTCAGGATTCTATTAGTTGGAGATCTGAATTGTTGGAGTTTTACAGTATTACCTTATTATTTAATTATCAAAACTTTCTCTGAATTATATTACTACTATCGTGAAAGCGTTTTTATAACAAGTGACCACTTGTTTATATTTTTTTGTATACCCGTGCAATATAATATGCTTTGTTAATAGGACATCTGACTTACTATTTTAGTTTTTCCTATTTCATTACTGGATTTGATTATTTATTTCAACAATTTGTAATTTGTATCTTAATTTTGACTACGGTGAACTAAAACTTAAAGATGTTACATAAAAACATGTTAATTTAAGTGAGTTGATTTATGGAAAAAAAACTTAGCACTTTGTTTTATAAAAGAATAGTGTAAGGCCTCGTTCACACGTATCGACTTTTCGCCCTGCGCCGTGCACGGCTCGGCGCCGTGCATTCCTGAACCGCGCCGTGGACCACACGACTCGCGCCGTGAATAACACGACTTGGGCTGTGCGAAAATGACTTCTTGCCACATTTCTTCAGTCTGTCAAAATGGATAACCAAACAAGTATGATATTTTTTTACTTGCTACATCGTCAAAGCAAAAGGAGGCGTAATAAGCTAAAGTGGGTACACCCTATAAACGTGCAAAGGCCAGTAACAGGAGCATTCGTTCTTTTTTTCAGTTCTATTCTTTTCTAAGAAAGAACCAAAGTAAATTTTATAATTATTTTTTCGAATGTCAGTTGCTTCATTCGATGAACTGTTAGTAAAAGTGCAAGGAGGCTTAATTATAGAAACAGAACACTTAGGCCTTGGATACGATACGAGCGGCAAGCGGTGAGCGGCAAGAGGCGAGCGGCAACCTTAGCGGCACGTAAAGGTGGTGGTGGCTATGATACAAGCCGCACATTTATAACGCTCATCAAATTTCTCCCTGTTTTATGAGTCAGTTTGAGAAAAAACTCGGACATCGGGTCTCATTTAGTTGCGTTTAAATTTGTTGAGGGTGGCCACGATGCGGCGAGCGGCGGTGAACGGCACCGCTCAGCGCCGGTCATGGTTCCAAGTCAAAAAAGATTTTCACGAAAACGCCGCTTGCCGCTCAGGGGAGTCATGCTTCAGTTAGGCCTAAAATGACAGGGAAACAGCAGCAAACATGCGATACAGGTCGATACGAGATGTGCAGTCCAGGGAATTTTTGTGGAATGACCAGCACGGAAGTTTTAAAACACTTCAGTCACCATAAAAGTATAGAACAAAGTTAGGGTTAAGTTTTTCTTTAAAGACAAAGAATTGTTAGATAGTAACAATAGTTGCAATACGTCTTGCAGGTAAGCATAGTTTACCATTTTCGACTAAACTGACTCATAAAACTGGGGAAATTTCACGAGCGTTATAAAAGTGCCGCTTGTATCGTAGCCACCACTGCCGCTTACGTGCCGCTCAGGTTGCCGCTCGCCGCTTGCCGCTCACCGCTCGCGCCTCGTATCGTACCCGAGGCCTTACTCTCAGGTTTTGCGCTAAAAGGTGTATTTTATGTATCATACAAATTATGTAAGCTGACTTCATTTCCAAATAAATCTGGTTAATCTTTACAAACGAACTTTGTGGCCCATCTTAAGGCCACTGTTTACATCACTGTTTAAAAACTAATGTTTTATAGCAAATATTACTATGAACTTGTAAACTGTTCACATAAGTTATTTATTTTTACAAATTTTTTACAAAAGTGGAAGATTCCGCCTTTTGTGATGGATGTACTACACCTCTCGAATCCAGGAAGACACTGAATAAGCAATGTCTACGCATGCGCTAGACCGAGTCAGGACGGTCCCGCGTCGACCTGTGTGAACGCATCCATAAGAGACCATGGTGTTCAAGAGGTCGAGTACGGCGCGACGCCGCGTCGTCGCTTGAAGAAGGTCGTGATGTCCACGGCCGCCGTGGACGGCACGGCGCCGTGGTCGATACGTGTGAACAGTTGCATTTACAGCAATGATATTGAATAAACATGACGTCGTGCCATACACGGCGCACGGCAGAAAGTCGATACGTGTGAACGAGGCCTAACATTTCCTCAAGCATTTTGAAAGTTTAGTATATTTTATTTTAATTATTTAACAAAATTACCAATTTTCTACATTTCTATTTTTCTAAGATAAAACTTTCTTCTAACATTTGAATACGTATTATTTTAGCTTCAATCAGTTTTTAATTCAACTCAGCACAACTCTTATCCATCAGTGCAATAGTAACTGACCGTTCTTTTATTTCCCATCTAAGATTTTTCATTGCAAAATTATTTTCAATCAGAATCTTTTCAATAGTGGAAAATTAAAAATTCTACAAAACAAATAAGACCATTACAATGATTTTCATACTGTTAAATGTATATGGATTTCAATTATCAATTAAGTATGCTTGGACTCTTAGAGATACTGTAAGAGTTCTCCAATTCCAGATATGATTCTACTGGTCGATCTTTATATGGGTTTCTTCACAAACCGACCATCATATTGATTAAGGTGGGCTCCAATCCACTAACACATTATCTCCAAGCCAAAACAATTGGTTATTGGCAGGATTTGATCCAGGACATGCAGAACAGGGGTCTAACATACCTTCTGTGCCCCAGATTTCAGGAAACATCCAATTTATGTATTAATATATTACTAGAGATCGTCCAGTGGTCGAAAACTCGACCAAAAATATGCACAGTAGAAATTTTTTGCTAGACGCGGTTGATGTATGGTGGAATATCTTTGCGGATGAACATTTTTGGCTGTGGGCTGTAGTGATCCATTGATTAAACCTAACATCGACGGTGTTAGGTTATATACATCGTTGGTGTGATCAGGTGTTCAATGTTCACATGTCAATTTTTGAGGTCTATCAAAACAAACAAACTGACATGTTGTCAATTAGGGAAAATGTTGTATTACTTACGAAAGAAATTTCATTTAAGATAAAATAAATCAATTTAGTATATGTCATTGTCTGAATTATTAGAAAACATTCAGTATATAGGCTACTGCATTTTATAAACCAAACTCGAATCTTGCTTCCTTGACCTTTTTACGGTGTGGTCCTATAGCACCGAATCCCAACCAGCCGAAAGACAAATAAGTCCTAAACTGCCGAATGCAATAGTGCCGAATTCTTTCGGCAATTTGCGACGATTTAAACTTTATTTCGGGAGTTTAGGACTCTATTGAAAATAGTTCGGCACATTAGGATTTATAAGTGTCAAATACCCGAATTGTTTTTTCTGTCCTAAACTGCCGAATCTTAATCTAGCGAAAAGATATTCACCATCAAAATGCCGAAAACTTCCTTTGACGTAGTACGACTTAAGCGTCCCAAATCGCCGAAAGATCTATTTGTGTTAATTTGTCGAAAGAATGCATTAAAAGTCGTAATCTGCCGAACAATAGAACATTCCCCCTTCTTAAAGGGGAGGAGCAACAGGAGGGATCGGGGGGTAACAACATGGCATCGGTGCCCAAAGTCTCCGCCCACAGCAGCGTTTCCCCCCACCCCACCCTAGTACATTCGGATTAACTTTCGCCAAGCACAAAGTATTGTAGTTGTCTTGCTATTCACCGATTAACGAGTAGACGTCTACACACATGTGTCATATTCCGTTCAACATATTTCATTATAGTACTTACTGTGTAGAGGAGTGGAATTTCTAAATCAGATGGCAGTAGACACCCTAGTTAGTATTTCGCACTTTTTTCAATACTTCAGCATGTAGCTACAAATAAATAAAAGGTTAAAATACCTGATTGTTGTCTTGTGGCCCAAAGTATTGTCCTATACGGATCCAACGATGGCGCTCGCGCTGAATTGTACATAAGCCACTAGGACAATACTTTGGACCACAAAAGTGACAATCAGGTATTTTAACCTTTTATTTATTTGTCAATCAGTTGGTCCAGAAACACCACAACAAAATACGAAATGTAGCTACACTTTATTTCACTGGGTTTACTCAGACTTAAGCATGAGAAATCTTAGGTGTAAGAAAACAGGTTATAATTTAATAAAAATGGTTGTAATACAACGGTTTGTAGTAAAATATAATTGACGTTATTATAGTAACCAACCAAAAGAATTCCAATTGAAGCAATATGACAGACTAATAATGCAGGATATCGAGTAGTATTTGAGTAAAGTGTAAAAATTGTTACTGCTGTTTAAAAAGAATAATGAGTAAAATTTGTATTTAATTCGGTAACAATTGTGGTAGGCTATATAATGTTGGCTACCTACCTTAACAATTTCGAATACACATGGAAAACTTTAAATGCGGATATGTGTAAATCAGGGAAAAGATTGTT